CCGAGGTGCGCGCCCTGCCCTGCCCCGCCCCGCCCCGGCACTGGCCGTCCGCGCCGTCTCCGCTGGCTTGACAGTAAAACCAACAACCAACGCCCCGCCATAAGGCCATAAGGGGGCGCGCGTAAAAATCAAGGCAACGCCGCCGTAACGTTGCGAAGAACCCCGAGGACCCCAAGGACCCCAGCGAGGACCTCGGCCTGGACGGCGGCCGTCAAAAAGAGAGGTGGGTTGTGTTTGTGTACGGGTGTGGTTTCCTGGTTTTGTGTGTGTGTGTGTGTGGTGAGAGAGAGGAGAGAGAGGAGAGAGAGAGAGAGAGAGAGAGAGAGAGAGAGAGAGAGAGAGGAGAGAGAGAGAGAGAGAGAGAGAGAGAGAGAGAGAGAACGCTATGTGTGTGTGCGTGTCGCCTGCTGGTTTTAAACCCGCTGCGAACTTGGAGCCTGCTGCGCGGCCAGTGCGTTCCATTAGCCGAGCCCGCCCCGCCCCGCCCCGCCCCTGGCCGGGTGTTCCGAGCGCCTTGTGTACGACCCCCTGCGCCGCGCCCTCCCCGCCGCCATTCCCTTCCAGACCACCTCTTTTTCGATTTCGGTACTTCAGCGTGCTTTCGGCGTGCTTTTGCCGCTTTGCTGCGCCGAGTCCGCAAGGCGCGTAATTACAGAAGTTGCGATCCGGTTCGATCAGCGTCAGGCTGCGCGGCGCGGCGCAGGCGGGGACGGACTGGAAAACAACAGCACGGAAAATACGAAAACAGTGCTTTGCAGCACGGCAGCCTCTGCCAATAACGCCCCTCGGCGTGAGTGGTCCGATCACCGCAAAACTCGAGTGCTCCACCTCGCCCAGCCCGTCCCTCTGCCGATGTTTGGCTTCGACTGACCCGGAGGCGCGGCCGAGCCGGCCGAGGCCGGGACCAGGACGGCCTGCCTGGTGGCCTCGGGGGCCTTGCGGGCCGCGCTGTCCTGTGCGGCCTCCACTACGGCCTCCACCAAGGCCTTCGCCTCGGCCTCGGGCGCCTCGGGCCTGTGGACGGTCCCGTCGGTGAGGTGTTTGCCTCGGAATGACGCCCCCGGCGGGACAGGTCTCAGGGGGGGGCGGGGCGGGGCGGGGCGGGGCGGGGCGGGGAGCGCGCTAGGCCGAGACAGGGTGTGTGGGGCAGGGCGGCGGTCGGCCGGGGCTCCTTTCAGAGGAAGCGGCCCATGAAATTAATTTGTTCCGTTGGCACCTCAAGTCCGGCGCGGTGCGGCCACGGAGCGGCCAGCACGCCGATGGCCTCGAGGGCCTCGAGGAGGGCGCCGGGCGCGCCGGGCACCACCGCGCCGGGGATATGCAGATCCCGCGCTTCGGCGCCGCCCCTCCAGCACGGCCTTTCCGCCGCCCGCCACGCCACGCCACGGCACCACGCCACGCCACGCCACGCCACGCCACGCCACGGCACGCCACGCCACGCCACGCCACGCCACGCCACGCCACGCCACGCCACGGCGCGTCTCGCAGCCCGAGCCCCCCACGCCCCGGCACTTCAAGTCATAACGACGACCCGCAGAGGGGCCCGCGGCGGCCGGCACGCCACGGTGGCGGCTCGCCACCCGGCCGCCCGCAAAGGGCCATCATCTCAGTACTCAGCCCCCAGCCTCCCAGCCGGGGGAGCCTTTCAAGTTTTTTTCCCCAGAGGGGCCCGGCCTGCGGGCCCGGGTGCCTGTTGACTGGGGTGCGCCCGGGGCCCCCGCCCACCCCCCCCCCTCCCAGACCTCCGCGCCCTGATCCACGCCAAGACCGTCGTCATCGTCATGGCCTCGACCTCGTCCCCGTGCCCGGCCAGACTGACTCTGTTGTCTTAGGCGCGGCGCGCGGCAGGGGCGGTGTCCTCGGTGTTCTCGGTGTCAACGGGGTCAACGGGGTCAAGCACACACGGCGGTGACGTCACGGTGACGTCAGCGGCCGGCTTTCCGGTATGCTTCGCGCTTTGCAGGACGCAGGCAGCGAGAACAGTCATTGCAGCGCGACGGACCGGAAGCCAACGAACCGCGTGTCATTAAGTCCGCTATGCGATCCACTCTTTCCAGTGCCGCTGCACTACTGTGACAGTATTCTTCAAAGGGTGGCACAGCACTGTACCCACAGCCCCCGTGTGGAGCGCGGTTGGGCGGCGCACGCACACCGGCGCACTGCCTGGCGGCCAAGTGCTGCCTCGCCTCGCCCGGCGCCGCCCTGGCCCGCCCTGGCCCAGCCGTTGCGGTCGCCAACTTCTTGTCCCATTTGCGCGCGGTCTGGTCTGGCCTGGCCTGGGCGGGTCTCGGCTTATCAAAGCTGCGGCCGGGCCTTCGGTGTTCGGTGGGGACGCTGGGCTGCTGGATGGAGAACGCCCGCCTGCCGAGTCGCTGTCGCGGGGCGGGGCGGGGCGGCGGACTCTAGTTCGGTGGGCACTCTCGCTGGCCCAGCCTAGCCGCTCGGCAATGCAGGCTCACCGGCAAATTGGTGCGAGTGAAGGGGACCCAATGCAGTGGTCACGCGGACGGGACCGGAAATGGTACAGAACTCGCCGTCGCCCTGCCGACACTGCGCTGCCCACACTCCTCGCTCCATCTCTTTCTCACTCGGGGGTGCGAGAGAGACAGAGCGAGTGCGGACGGCGGCATCGCCCGACTGCTCCGCCCAGCTCCGCCCTGCTCGCCGCGGCGCTGTCGAGTCGGGCCGCCGACAGCCCCCCCCCTCCTCGCCACGCCACGCCACCACGGCCAGCGCCGCCGAATTTAATGAGTCAAGTTTTTCGCGACTCTGTTTAGTGTACTTTGATTAATCCTGGAACTTTTAATCGGGCACCCTTGCGTCTCAGTGTCAGAGGTTGGGATGGACTCCGAAACTGCACCTCCAGAGTGTGGGTGTCCTAAGCGTGCGCATTTCTCTTGAAGGCACTCGTTTCCGTCGTTTTGACGTCTCGCGACTCACGGATGTCGTCGGGACTTCTAACGGACCCTTTGGTAGTGGAGAGAAATCCACTCGTCAATGCCAGGGCTGCCGTGCTTTGGTTTGCTTCGGTCGAGCGCCTGCGGACGAGGGACGGGCAACCCGTTTGGCTCGGGCGTGTTGCGGGCTTGCCTGCCCGCAGTTCGCAGGCGCCGTGCCCGCCTTCGACTCGGCTGGGGAGGCTCGGCCACCCTCGGCCACCCTCGGCCACCGAGCCCGGTCGAGGAAGGTGCTTGCCGTCTTTCGGAGACGGTGGCCGTTCCACAGAGGCGTTGCAATTTGCAATGTTTGGCGAGCTCGCCAGGAAAAAAAATTCCAATGCTAATCGCATTGCAGGGTGTTCCCAGTTTCATAACTGGTTTAAAAGTAAGTTTTGAAATACCAATAAAAAGGAGTCCTAGTTTGGGAACGGTATTGCAGCAAAGTTTGTCAAAACAGTAACAAATGTGTAGAAATCATCGTTTGGCCTAACTTTAGGCAGCCACTGCGTCTAATCTAGGCGGCTAATCGTTCTCCCTCAACGGGTGGGTGTTCTTTGGGCCTTACTTTAGAACACCTTTGTTACGGAGTGCGATTAGCCGCCTTAGTTTGGGAGCGGTATTGCAGCAAAGTTTGTCAAAACGGTAACAAATGTGAAGAAATCGTGGTTTGGGCTGACTTTAGGCAGCCACTGCATCTAATCTAAGGCGGCTAATCGTTCTCTCTCAACGGGTGGGTGTTCTTTGGGCCTTCTTTTGAAACACCTTTGTTATGGAGTGCGATTAGCCGCCTTAGTTTGGGAGCGGTATTCCAGCAAAGTTTGTTGAAACGGTAACACATGTGCAGAAATCGTGGTTTGAGCTGACTTTAGGCAGCCACTGCGTCTAATCTAAGGCGGCTAATCGTTCTCCCTCAACGGGTGGGTGTTCTTTGGGCCTTACTTTAGAACACTTTTGTTACGGAGTGCGATTAGCCGCCTTAGTTTGGGAGCGGTATTGCAGCAAAGTTTGTCAAAACGGTAACAAATGTGAAGAAATCGTGGTTTGGGCTGACTTTAGGCAGCCACTGCATCTAATCTAAGGCGGCTAATCGTTCTCTCTCAACGGGTGGGTGTTCTTTGGGCCTTCCTTTGAAACACCTTTGTTACGGAGTGCGATTAGCCGCCTTAGTTTGGGAGCGGTATTGCAGCAAAGTTTGTTGAAACGGTAACAAATGTGCAGAAATCGTGGTTGAGCTGACTTTAGGCACCCACTGCGACTAATCTAAAGCGGCTAATCGTTCTCCCTCAACGGGTGGGTACTCTTTGGGCCTTCCTTTAGAACACCTTTGTTACGGAGTGCGAGTGCGGTTTGTCAAACCAACCGTTTAGCTGGTCACAGAATTGAAGAAAACATGACAAGTCAACCGCAGCCTTTAGAAGCATGCCAAACAATCCAACCTCAGCAACAATGAAGGGGCAGTTTCAATGCGCGACTACTCTTTTTTCAGTCTCGCGATTTTCGAAAGGGGGCAGACACCGAGAAAATTGTTGCCAACCCACGAAAATTAATTAATTGCGTCTTTTCTGCTACGAACGTTTTACCAATGACGGATTTCAAAGATGTTCCAATGTCAGGACACAGTGCAATGCGCTAGCACTGGCATTTTCGAATTTCACGGCGTGTTGATTTCTTTTGATGGGTCACTTTAAATTTTGACAGTTGGCATGATGGTGTCGTGTCGTTGCCATGGCGATTTTTTTTTCATGTTTTAACCATTTTCTCAGAACACAGACAATTTCTTGTCACTTTGATGAGCCAGAAGGTTTAGTTTTGAGGAGTGGTACATTTTTTATTTGAACCATTTTTTCATATCATGAACGGTTCTGGTTTTCGATTGTTGCAAATTTATGTTTTTCGCGTTTACGGAAAATTTCCACGATGAATTTTCAAAAAAATTTGGAATTTTCGTTTTTTTTATAGTTGAAATAGTTTAGCGTTGTTTATTTGAAAATCGAAGAGGGGGGGGGAAGGAATCCACGGACCTCGGACAATAGGGGTTCTTGGGAACCCCTAAAAAGGACATGAGCATGAGAATGAGTATAATCTGGTCTCGGCGCCCTCGGCCTTCGGAGTGATTCTCCGAGCGTTTAGCGATGCGCGCGGAAGTGCGCGGATACCACGCAGTGTAGCGGCCTTCGTCCCTCCATCTACACATCTACCGGCGCCGCTCGAGGCGGATGGGCGCGCCGCCGTGCACGGCCATGGAGATGCCCACGACGAACTTGATGTCCTCGAGGCGCTGCGGGCCCATGAGCGCGGGCAGCACGCGGAAGCGCCGCAGGATGGTGGAGGTGGCGGTCTTGGCCGACATCAAGGCGTACCGCTGCCCGATGCAGTTCCGGACCCCGGCGCTGCGGACAGGACGGACAATGCGCGTCACTGCGTGGTCACTGCGAGACCGAGGGTGGAGAACGCCGCGATTGGCGTGCGGAGGCGTGGCGTTTGCAGCGCCCACACTGCAAGAGTTCACCACTTGCGGTGTGGGGACTGACTGCAAACTCCACATGTCCAAGAGTGGCCAGTTACTCCGCAGCAGGAAGTGGCGGAGTCTCCACACGGGTTTCAACAGTGGCGAGTCAGTGCTTGGCGCTACTCCGCGCCGCGGGCGGGGTAGCGGTGCGGCGCGGAGTATCGCCGCGAGGCAGGCGCGGGGTGTCGCGGAGTCCGCGTCCGCGGCGCGGCGCCAACCTGAAGGGCACGTAGGCGTAGGGGTGCCGGCCGCGGCTGTTCTCGGGCAGGAAGCGCTCGGGCCGGAAGGCCTCGGGGTCCGGGAAGTGGCGCGGCAGGCGGTGCGTGAAGTAGGGCACGGTGCCCACGATGCAGCCCGCCGGCAGCACGTGGCCCGACGGCAGCTTCACGTCCTGCGTGGCCTGCCGCGAGATGCCGAACGTGGGCGGGAACAGCCGCATGCTCTCCTTGATGGCGCACTCCAGGTACTGCAGGTGCGGCAGGTCCGCCGTCTCGATGGGCCGGTCCGAGCCGCCGAACACGTCGTCCAGCTCCTGCGGCAGAGGGGCGGCACAGTCGGCAGTGGGCCAGGCGGACAAAACTCAAGACGCGTTTCGAGCTCCAGAGTCGGTCAACAGGACTCGAACCGAACGTGCGTGCCCACCAATGGATTGCTTTCTGAACGAGGACTCCATTGACCACACGTTCGGTTCGAGTCCTGTTTAGCGACGCTGGAGCTCGAAACGCGTCCGGAATTCAGACCACCTTGTGCTGGCCCACTGTGTGCTGTCAGCGTACCACCACCGACCACGTGACGCTACTCACCCTCGCGATCCTGTCCTGCACGTCCTGCTTGATGGACATGACGAGCAGGAAGGTGCACAGGAAGTCCATGGAGGTGCCCACGGCCGCGCCGCTCATGGTCTTGAGCTCCTCGGTGAGCTCCTCGCGCGTGAGCTGCTTGCCCTCGGGGCAGGTGAGCACGTTGTCCAGGAAGGCCCTGCGCTTGCCCGGCGTCCCCAGCACGCCGCGCTCCAGCTGCGGCCAACAAGCGCACCGTGAAACCGAGGGAAAAGTGCAGAGCTGCCGTCCCCACTTGGATCTCGCCACGTTTGCACCATGAGAAGAGATAGGGGCTCTGCGACCTACTCCACACTTGAAGTTTGGAGTCTGCAAGTTACTTCCAAGTTACTTCTCCCTCACCAGGAAGTGTATGGATGAAGTTCTCCACGATTGGTTGGCGTGTGCGGCCTGACGGGGCTGCTTGACCTTGCCGAGCGCGCTGCGACCTCGCCTTACTCACCTGCTTCATCTTGTGGGAGAGCACGGTGCTGACGAAGGTCTCGAAGACGCTGGCGGCCTCGTAGTACTCGTCGTGCCGGCTGGAGAAGTAGAAGGTGGCGTCCCAGGCCAGCCAGGGCCGCATCACGCGGTAGAACATGACCCTGGACGCCTGCAGCTGGCACTCGACGAACTTGTCGCGGATCGCGTGCAGCTCGGGCTCCCACTCGTCCGAGAAGACGGTCTGGCAGATGGCCTCGGCCGCGTAGGCGCCCAGCATGGGCTGCGCGTCGAAGGACATGCCCGTGTCCGCGTGCACCGCCATCTTGGCGCACAGCGTCCGCGCGCTCTGCTCGAACAGCGGCAGGAAGCCCTGCGCAGTGCACCACGCCTTGTAGCGAACCTTCAACGTTTTTGCGGATTTGGCCAGCGGCGGTGCTTGCACCTGCACTGGTAGAACTGACAGTGGCGGATCCAGAGCCGATCCAGAGGCGTCCTTGGGTGGGGGTGGGGGCAGAGTAGCACTTTGTGCCTACTTACATGAGCAAAGTAGTACTTTTTGCCTTCGCCTACCTTTCAGGCGGCTATCTAGATTTTCCTCCCCCAGTAGTGTCCACGCCCCGCCTGAGACGTACTTCTACGCCCTTTTTCAAGTGCAGTGATTGCTGCGCTTTGTTTCAAGCGTAGTTGTGCGTTTCACCTCGCTCCGCCTATCTAAATGCATGTGAGAATTTCTTCTCTACGCTTGATTCAAGCGTAGAATGAGGCGTACAACTGCGTTTCGGTTTTCCCAGAGTAGCAGCGCGTCAGCGCGAATACCGAGGCAAAGCCCCGGCCCCCAAATTGGCACCTAGTTTGGCGGCCTGAGAGGTGAGAAAACGGCCGCCTTGTCCCTACAAGTGCACAAAAAGTGCTGCTTTTTGAAGGCTGCTCCTGGGCCCGCCACTGCGCGCCACTACCTGCAGGATCTCGAGGTGCAGCGAGGGGCTGATGGCGCGGCGGTGGCGGCGGTGGTCGTCCGCGTCCAGGGTCACCAGGCCCTCGCCCAGGATGGGCTTCATCATGTCGCAGATCCAGGCGGGCTTGTGCTGCAACGCCGGGCTGGTGTAGAACACTTCCAGGTCCTCGGGCTCGGAGATGGTGACGTTGACGACGGGCCAGGCCCAGAAGCGCACCGTGTTGCCGTACTCCCTCTGCACGGCCAGGGCCTTCGCGAACACGTCCTCCGTGGGGCCGACCATCCGGAGCACGCCGGCCGGCGGCCCGGGGATCTTGCGCGCCATCCAGAACATCCTGGCCGTCCTGGCGGCCTTGGCGGCCACGGCCCAGCCGAAGCACGCCGCCAGCAGCGCGGCCGCCACCAGCAGCAGCAGGGGGGCCATGTCCGGGTCGGGGAGGCCGGGGCCCCTCACTCAGGCAGGCAGAGGACGAGCAGGACGCGCGGTACCTCGGGCCGAGTCTGAACGCGACGGTGTATTCGCACGAGACGCGGAGAGTGAGGGACCCCAAAGCGTGCAGTACATCCGTGTCGAGGTGCGCCTTATTTTCAACTGGCGTCCTCATCGCGCTGCTGCGTCGTGTTCCGGCCGACACGCCTCCCGACTCCGGCGCCCTTTTTCAGACGACGCACCTTTGACAATGCCCCGCGGCAGCGAAAAAACGGAAACAAACAACTCATACATATCGCTGGAACAGCATGCCGCAGTGGAGCGGGTGTCCGTGCCTTGCGCCTCCAAGACAGTGGCGTGGCGTGGCGTGGCGTGGTTGAGAGGGACTTCATTAGCGATGATAACGCATCCAAGCACAGGCAAGATATTGACGAAATCGGACTGTGTGATAGATAGTATAACAAACTAACCATGCGAAATAAAAAAAATTCCAATGCTAATCGCATTGCAGGGTGTTCCCAGTTTCATAACTGGTTTAAAAGTAAGTTTTGAAATACCATAAAAAGGGGTCCTGGTTTGGGGAAAGGTATTGCAGCAAAGTTGTCAAAACAGTAACAAAAGTGTAGAAATCATCGTTTGGCCTAAGTTTAGGCAGCCACTGCGTCTAATCTAAGGCGGCTAATCGTTCTCCCCCAACGGGTGGGTGTTCTTTGGGCCTTACTTTAGAAACCTTTGTTTCGGAGTGCGATTAGCGCCTTAGTTTGGGAGCGGTATTGCAGCAAAGTTTGTCAAAACAGTAAAAATGTGAAGAAATCGTGGTTTTGGGGTGACTTTTGGCAGCCACTGCATCTAATCTAAGGCGGCTAATCGTTCTCTCTAACGGGTGGGTGTTCTTTTGGGCCTTTCCCCTTTAAACACCTTTGTACGGAGTTCGATTTGCCGCCTTAGTTTGGGAGCGGTATTGCAGCAAAGTTTGTTGAAACGGTAACAAATGTGTAGAAATCATCGTTTGGCCTAACTTTAGGCAGCCACTGCGTTAATCTAAGGCGGCTAATCGTTCTCCCTCAACGGGGGGTGTTCTTTGGGCCTTTCTTTTGAACACCTTTGTTACGGAGTTCGATTAGCCGCCTTAGTTTGGGGGCGGTATTGCAGCAAAGTTTGTCAAAACGGTAACAAATGTGAAGAAATCGTGGTTTGAGCTGACTTTAGGCACCCACTGCGACTAATCTAAGGCGGCTAATCGTTCTCCCCGCGGGTGGGTACTCTTTGGGGCCCTTTCCTTTTGAACACCTTTGTTACGGAGTACGAGTGCGGTTTGTCAAACCAACCGTTTAGCTGGTCACAGAATTGAGGAAAAAATGACAAGTCAACCGCAGCCTTTAGAAGCATGCCCAAAAAATCCAAACCCCAGCAACAAAGAAGGGGCAGTTTCAATGCGCGACTACTCGTTTTTTTAGTCTCGCGATTTTTGAAAGGGCGCAGACACCGAGAAAATTGTTGCCAACCCACGAAAATTAATTTATTGCGTCTTTTCTGCTACGAACGTTTTACCAATGACGGATTTCAAAGATGTTCCAATGTCAGGGCACAGTGCAATGCGCTAGCATTGGCATTTTCGAATTTCACGGCGTGTTGATTTCTTTGATGGGTCACTTTAAATTTTGACAGTTGGCATGATGGTGTCGTGTCGTTGCCATGGCGATTTTTTTTTTCATGTTTTAACCATTTTCTCAGAACACAGACAATTTCTTGTCACTTTGATGAGCCAGGAGGTTTAGTTTTGAGGAGTGGTACATTTTTTATTTGAACCATTTTTTCATATCATGAACGGTTCTGGTTTTCGATTGTTGCAAATTTATGTTTTTCGCGTTTACGGAAAATTTCCACGATGAATTTTCGAAAAAATTTGGAATTTTCGTTTTTTTAATAGTTGAAATAGTTTAGCGTTGTTTATTTGAAAATCGAAGAGGGGGGGGGGGAAGGAATCCACGGACCTCGGACAATAGGGGTTCTTGGGAACCCCTAAAAAACAATTGCAAGGTACGATCATTATTTGGGAAAATGAGCTCAAAATTTTGGACTAAGGCATGGACATCAAGTTCCAGACCGTTCAGGCCTAAACGTGTGTGACCTTGACAATCAGCAAAAGTGCATCCGTAAAAGTAAACTAATGTTACTTTTGATGGCATTATGATGTCAGTGGTGATTCCAAGCCGTGATCACGTTGGCGGACCTGTCCGCGGAGGGAGGATGCACGTAGGAGGCCGACGCGCAAAAAAAAAGAAGAAAAAAACAGAAAGACAGGAAGCTTGTCCGGCGCAACGCTTGTGCGTGAGCATTACAAAGTGAACAATCGGAGTCCAATTACTCGCGATGGGTCCATCAAAGGCGTGGCGCCGCGAGCGTCGTCATGGCCCCGCGGCACTCTGCCCCCACTTCCGGCGTCCCTGGCACCGCACTGCTAACACGGCTAACAGGGCGTATCACCCGAAGAATGGCTGCGTGGCTGTTAATATGTATGCATGTAGGTGTGAGAACAAGTAGACAAAGTGGTTCTAGGAAATACAAGAGACTCTCTGGAGATTTCAAATATTCTTTACTTCGTGAAAAAACTATACAAACAATTTCGTAGCGATTTAATGATTTGCAGCAAAAGGTGCGCGCCCACGGGCACGTCCATGCATGGGAAGATCATCATTGATTTGACTCTCTCTCTCTCTCTCTCTCTCTCTCTCTCTCTCTCTCTCTCTCTCTCTCTCTCTCTCTCTCTCTCTCTCTCTCTCACACACACACACCACACACACACACACACGCAGACAGGGCCAGGCCCGCGCGGCCCGCCGTGACGCCGTGCCCCTCTTCGTACTTTTCTTGGACCACGGATGATCCCCCGGCTTACATGACAGATTGTCGCCAGACTCACAGACTCACTGATGCAGGGGCTGTAAAACCTGTCTGAATATCACAGTAGTTATCACTGTTTTTCACTTTCGGCAACACGACGCCGTCTGTTTGCGCGTCTGCAGACAGTCCTGGCGGCGCCGCGCCCCGCGCCAAGTCGCACCGACGGGGTGCTCGGGGCACGCCGTCGACGCCGACCCCTCCCTCCCGGCCAGTGGCGACACCAGTGGCGACGCTAGGGGCACCAGCCCCACCTCCTGTAGGAAGGGCAGTGTGGCCGAGCCTCCCCGACGGCGAAGGTCTCTCTCTCGCACTCATGGAGCGTCCCTTACAGGTGCGAGAGAGACGCGTCGACACCCCTACTTGAGCGCGTCGTACAGGGAGGCGTACACGCCCGACACGGCGGTGAAGACGGAGATGGTGACGAGCGCGCCGTTCTTGCCCGCCAGCCCGAAGCGCGTGGCGCGGTCGCTCGTCTCCCAGTCCACGACCGTCTCCACCACGGCGGGCGTGAAGATGCCCAGCGCCGAGAAGAAGATGGCGCCGATGAGGCTGATGACGAGCTCCAGGTTGGGCACGGCCACGGCCACGATCATGCACGACACGATGAGCGCGGCGCGCATCACGCGCTCCATGGCGGGCCGCCGGTCCTCGCGCACGTGCGGCGACACGAAGTCCCACAGGATCTCCGCGCACACGAAGAACTGCACGGGCACGGTGAACAGGATGGCCACGCCGATGAGCACCTTGACGGCCTGCGCGGGGCTGCGGGGCAGACGGAGTCGGTCAGGATGGCGGTGCACAGAGGCCCACCGGCGGAGGTGGCCAAAATTGAGACGCGTTTTGAGCTCCAGAGTCGCTATACGGGACTCGGACCGAACGAGTGACCCCACCAATGGATTGCTCTCCGAACGAGGAATCCATTGGTGGGGGTCTCACACGTCCGGTTCGTGTTCTATTTAGCGACGCTGGAGCTCAAAACGCGTCTCGATTTTGGCCGCCTTCACCGGTCTTCTGGCCCACTCTGCGGTGTCGACCCAAGTGTGGGGAGAACTCCTCACTTCCCGGCGCGGAGCGGGCAGTGAGACTTACTACTCCTCGGTGGGCAGGCTGAGGGCGATGTTGGCCGAGATGGCGTCGCCGAACGAGAGGTAGCCGAGGAAGCCGATGCTGGCGAACAGCACCACGATGCACGACATGGCCATCGTCATGACGCCCGTCCAGCCCGTCATCTTGCGCGGCTCTCGCATCGTGTTCTCGATCGGCATCACCTGCAACCGGAACGGACCGGAACCAGTCAGTCACCTGCCGTCGGCGCGGTAGGCCACCCGCTGCTTTTGCTGGAGCTCCTGTTGCATTGCTATTGGCATATTGCTATTGCCATATTGCTATTGCCATATTGCTATTGGCATATTGCTATTGCCATATTGCTATTGCCATATTGCTATTGCCATATTGCTATTGCCCCAAAATGATTGTCTGCGGACGGCCGTTGCCGCTTACCGAGCCGATGCCCTCCATGGCGAACAGGGCCGTGGAGAAGAAGATGGGCATGCCCTCGAAGCTCTCCACGCCGTAGCGCCGCCCGCTGGTGGCGGGGTCCGGCAGCTCGTGGAAGATGTAGTAGAGCGTGATGCCCAGGCCGGCCACGATGCACGAGTTGGCGATGAAGGAGCAGGGCACCAGGTGCTTGAGCAGCCGCAGCTGGCACATGGGCACCAGCGGCACCATCAGCAGCGCGATGTACACGCGCGTGTCGACCGGGTCGTGGCCCGCGTACTGCTTCACCAGCTGCAGGGAGGGACAGAGGTGACGCTTGGCTCTCTCGCGCACGGCCGCAGGGGACCAGATGACCGGTAGCTCTGGAGCCACCCAAAGGGACTCGAACCAGACGTGTGACCCCACCAATGGATTGCTCTTCAAACGAGGAATCCATTGGTGGGATCACACGTTCGGTTCGAATCCCATTTAGCGACGCCTATCTGAAAACATGCATAGAATTTCGGCCACCCGCAGCGGTCTTCTGGCCCCCTGTGCGCTGGCACACTCCACGAGGCAGCGTGATCGCTCGTCTGGGTAGGCCACCCAACTGACAGTGGCAGCCCCGGTGGTGGCTCGCGCGACGCCGCGGCCCGAGCGCCGCGCTGGGTAGGCCACCCAACCGACTGGCGCGGTCCGGCGCTGTCCGCGACCACCTATCTCGGCTCAAGGCGGGGATATACGAGCCGTAAAACATCTTTGAAAGGTACACTCCAAAGCAGAGTCTTCGGGCGGGCGGTGGTGGGGGCGGTGGAGGCGCGGCCGTCACCGTCTTCGTTGTTTTGCTGGCCTCCCTAAGACGCGTTGAGCCAGATAGGCCGTCGCGGACACGGGGACTCCGGACCACAACACCTGGAGCGAGCCATTCAGAAGAGTAGCTTCGTGGCTCTGTCTCTGTCGCCCTCACAGCGCTCGCCGTAGCAGTGAGACGGAGACAGGGCGACGGACCGCTCTCCTGAATCGCTGCTCGTTTTTGCTCGTTCCAAGGAGGGGGCGGAGAAGGACGCACCTGGTGGATCGACGAGGCGATGAAGATGATGTAGGCGGACATGGATAGTGCGTAGCAGAGGAACAGGGAGATCTTGACGAAGTTCCTGGAACCAGAGAGGACGGCTTATGTTGTGTGTTATCGCGTCCAGGAAGCGGCTGGAGAGGCCGGCCCGGTGTCCTTGGGGAGGACGATGGCGGTGACGGTGGCGCTGACGGGGCGGCCGGCCCGGGCGCGACGGCACGGCGACGGAGTCGCCGGGATGCGGCGGGCTGCCGGGGACACGCGTCGCGACGGAGGGAAGGCAATCTAATTATACTGAGCGAAGGTAGTGCTGCCGAGGCGACCGCCACACCGCTAGACGGCTAGCCCCGCGAGCCGCAAAGGGCTTTGCCGGCCCACTGCGAGTGCACTGCTAGTGCTGCCAAACTGTCGAGCAGAGCAGGGCGTCCTTCGCGCCGACGCGGTGGGCCGACGCGACGCTCGCGGGTCACTTCGGGGCTCTTCCGTCGCCCTCCGTCCTGCCGTGCGTTAGCCGTTAGCAGTGCCGCAGCGCCATGGGCGCGCTCAAGGGCACGCGGGCCGGCATCCCACGGAGGGAGAGGGGGAGGGGGGGAGGGGGGAGGCACCGAGAGCAGTGAATCTGTGTCAGCGTCCAGCCAAAGGAGCCGCACTGTTGCGGATAGCCATGCAGACGCTCCTCTCGAGACTGCGTGAGCCCCAGTTGTTCTCACTTGACACCAATACAGTATCGACAACGAAAGTTGAAGTGTGGTACGTCCCCCCTGCAGGGGCAGAGGCGCGGAGTGCGGAGGCCCCGACGCCGCCCTGCCACCAAAAGGCGCTGCGGATCGGGGGGAGGGGGCACGGGGTCACCCCCCATGGAGGCGGTGAAGGCTAAAATTCGTACTTCCCCCTGTAAGTAGGCAATGTGAGCACACCCTCCACACACACCCACACATACACTAAACCCGAACGTCGGACAGTGGGCAAGTAGACGAGCGCAGGCGGCCCGAACCGATCGTGCGGCCTCGCTAATGCATTGCCCTCCGAACAAGGCATCCATTGACGGGGGGTCAGATCGGTTCGAGTGCTGTTTAGCGACTCCGCAGCTCCACGCGCGTCTAGAGTCTTGGCCGCCTCCACCCGGCGTCTGCAGACGCGTGGCTTACTTGGCGGCCGTGGCGTAGGGTCGCAGCAGCTTGGGCCCGGACTGGAAGGCGCACTCGGCGGTCTCGCCCATGCCCAGCGTGGGGATCCGCATCCGGAAGTACAGGGTCTGCGCCGAGCGCACCAGGATGACCATGCAGTGCGTGCAGACGAAGCCCGTGACGGCCGTGCCGATGACGCCCAGGATGAGGCCGCTGTGTCTGAAGGCCATGGGCATGGCCATGATGCCCGAGCCCAGCCCGCCCTTGAGCAGGTGGAAGAAGGCCCCCATGTTGCTGGCGACAGATGAAGAACAGAGTCAGTCATTTCGGAAGTTTTGAGCCCGGCCCGAGCTCAGGAAGTCCTTGAGAAGGAAGGATGCTCCACACTTGGACGTGTGGAGTTCGCAGTCCCCACACTGCAAGTGAGTACCTCACAGAGCCCCCATCCTTGGCATGGTGCAAACGTACTGCAAACTCTGCACTTGCAAGTGTGGAGACAGCAAACTCCACATGTCCGCATTTCAAGTGTGGGGACACGGTCACTTTGGCCGCTTTGGACCTGCCAATCACACTCGTTGGCGAAAATGCTGGCGAGTCATCCTGCGAGATTCCTCGTCTGCGACAGACGGCTTATCTCCGCGGTGCATGCATACTTCGCTTATCTGCTTGCGCGCGGATTGACTACACCTCGAAAAGAAAACACGGCCACTTTTATTGTGTCGCGACGTGCGCAGTGTGGGGAGCTCGCTCGCAAGTACTTAGTAGGCGGTCAAAATCCTGGAGGGATTTGGCGCTCCAGAGTCGCTAAATATGGGACTTGTGTACGTGTGACCCCCACCAATGGATTGCTCTTTGAACGAGGAATCCATTGGTGGGGTCAGACATTCGGTTCGAGTCCTGTTTACAGACTCTGGAGCTCAGAGTTTTGGCCGCCTGCCCGCGTCAATGGGAAGATGCTCGATGTGGACGGAGTTGATGCTTGCCAGTAACCTCACAAAGCTGGTCAAAAAGTGATTGAATCCTCTAAAAGTGTGGTTGTGTCAGATTATGTTGACTATACTGATTACCAACTAGACGTCCACTGATTATCTCGAGTTGGTTACCCCTGGACGAGAACGAGTCTCGGCATCAGCATGCCGCTAAACGGCCTATGCCACGTCTCGGTCGGTGGATACTCACGAGTATTGGTGGCTGACCTCCCGGTCGCTGAACGGGTCGTAATCATCCTTGTTCGTCTCCGAAATCCGGTTCCTCTCGCACGCGTCACTGGAGAGCAACAAAACAGCAACGCATCATCTCTCTGTGCGAAAGCAAGGTCCTTCCCCGGGGAGGAGGTCCTCCACAAGCAGCCGGGGAAATGTTGTCATTGCCATTTTTATTTTTAAGCAATAAAGATAATGGGCCGCGTGGTAATCTCGAACACTGTGTTGCATGCACGCGGCTCGCCGCGGCTCGCGGGCGCCAGCCCACCCGGCCACACCTTTCGCGCGATAAGGTTCGATTAGAGCGATAGCGGGTCATTCCAGTAAGCAATAATGAAATGACAGCGCGCCGAGAGGCAGCGAGGCCAGCTCGGACCAGCTCACCCGCGGCAGAGGCGCGCACAGTGGGCCGGAAGACCGGTGGAGGCGCCCAAAACTCTAGACGGTCTTGAGCTCCGGGAGTCGCAACAAAACCGAACGTATGCCCCCTCTCTGGTGAAAAAGGTTTTCCCAAGGTTCTCCACAAGCATTAAAATGTTTATTGCCTTTTAATTAATTAAGTATTAAATTATAAGAGACCGCGTGATAACTTTTCGAAAACTTTTATAACCCTTTTCTTCCGCCTGTATAAACTTACAGACCACCGGGCCAAAACCATATCGATGCATATCGCTGATTAATTATAGCGGTCATTATAAGTTTAATAATGAAAAATTACAGCGCCTTATAAATGTTATGGACATTCACCGGGGAATGCCCATAAGGCCTTTAATACCTGGAGGCTCCAAAATTTTAAAAGGACCTTTAGCTCAATTCAATAAAAAATAAAAGTATGACCCTACCAATGGATTCCTCGTTCGGAGTGCAATCCATTGGTGGGGTCACACGTTCGGTTCGAGTCCCATTTAGTGACGCTGGAGCTCAAAACGCGTTCAGAGTTTGGCCGCCTCCACCGGTCTTCTGGCAAACCCAGTGGCACGGCGCGGTGGGCTTTTGCTTTCATTTGCATCATTTGCACGCCACGCTCTGCCACTAGGCCCGCCAGGCCCGCCAGGTAGGCTTCGCACATGCGCACGGGACCCGCCCGTGTCGTTGACATGCTCTCGACGTGTCAGGCGAAAGCACCTCCTCAGACGCAGCCGCACTGGCAGAAAAAAGGACAGAAAACGTACGGAACAAGTCTGGTCAACAATTTGCCTCGACCGTCCGGTAATTTTTTCCGTTTACACGAGCTCATGTGGAACAAGTACGGACGATCCGTGCTTTTTTCCCTTAGCTCCGTAGTCTTCTGTACATTTCCCGTACAAAAGCACGGAATTTTACTCGAACCATTACAGGACCTCCTGCTGCCACTTTGTTAGGGAAACCTCCGGGCAGAGCGTCAATCGGAGAAAGTGTGTACAGATAAAGATGATGTCACTGCCTGCGGCTTTTTCCACACATGAATAAACGAGTCTGATTTTTTGGCCTTCTGTGCGGCAGTACACTCGGCGGCTGCGAAACGCTCCGCCATCTCAATGGTCATTGGCTTCGCGACTCACTCCCCCAGTGCCGAAGAAAACTTTTGAGCTGCAGTGAATGAATGAATGAATGAATGAATGAATGAATGAATGAATGAATGAATGAATGAATGAATGAATGAATGAATGAATGAATGAATGAATGAATGAATGAATGAATGAATGAATGAATGAATAACATTCATAAATGACGCACCGCGTGGTTCAAATATGGCCGAGCTTTCCCGCGTTTTTGCGTTTCGCCTGTTTACGACCGAAACGTTTCCCGTTTGGGAGCGCGCCGAGTGGGCGGCCACGCGGCGCAGCGATTTCAAGGCCGCGAAGGCCGCCAAGCCAGCAGGCCGCCAAGCAGGCCGCCAAGCAGGCCGCCAAGAAGGCCCGTGTGCGGTAGGCCCGGCTCTGCGGCCCTCCCGAGCGGCAGCACCGCGGTAACTCAGGGGCGACATTCTCTCCGCGGAGTCGGAGGGTTGGGCTGGTTAGGCACGGTCCGGCGTGGTCGGGGTGGAAATGTACCGCGGCAGTGTAAAAATGTCCTGGCAACACTCTTTATTGGCGCCTTACCCATTCTGGCCGGCGTCGCGGTGCGGCTCGAACTTGACGGTATCCATGACGAAGCCCGCGTTCAGGGTGCCGTGGCCGCGGGCAGGTGGGGCCGTGGGGGCGTGCTCGCCCCAGCCCTCGCTGGGGCACTGCTGCAAGCACAAAGGGTGCACTTCGTCAACGCACTGAGGGCCGGAAGACCGGTGGGGCCCAAGGGCCGGCCGAAACTCCAGACGCGTCTTGCGCTCCAGAGTCGCTAAACCAGCACTCGAACCGAACGTAGACCCCACCAATCGATACCTCGTTCGGAGGGCAATCCATTGATGGGGTCATACCCTTTTCCTGGGTGCCATATCGTACATCAGATGACACAGAAACCGATTATCTCACCTACTCGAGGAAATTGGGTGTCAAACGAAAGTGCGTAAAGATAATGCGCTCCCTCCTTTTTTTGGCCCGCCCTTCTATTCAAAAAATAGGGGAGGGCCTATGCATTGCCTTGTGTTGTGTGTTTTTGTTGTTGTTGTGTTGTTGTTGTTGTGTTGGCGTCTGTGTACAAGGAAGGAGTTGAGCTAGAGTAACCAGATTTGGAGGGTACTTCAGGAGTACCGTCCAAACAAATAATCCCGGGGGTGCAAATCCCGTCCGGGTCGCACAAGGGCTGCTGCAGGTGCATCATGGTTTACATGAGCGGGAGGGGGATTTCCGCCATTATTGGTGCTAGCAGGGCACATAGGGGTATTTTTGGAATCGGGGCGACGAGACAAGTTGAATGGACCTGGTCCCGACCCCATCGGCCGCTTTTACAAGTTCGCCAGATCAGGATCTTCAAAAAAGGGGGTCGACCGACTAAAAAAATTTATTGCAGATTTCGATTGGTCTTAGCAAGACCTTTTCAACGAGGGGTCGGAAAGGGGGTCCAGGAGCCCGACTTCGTCTATAAGTCACATCAGGATCTTGAAAAAAGGGGGTCGACCGACTGAAAATTTTTACTTAAGTTTTGGATAGGTCTTGGCAAGACCTCTTCAACGAGGGGTCGGAAGGGGGGTCCAGGAGCCCGCCTTCATGAGTTATGGGAAAAAGTGCGACGGACTCGTTTTGCGCTCCTGCTGTGCCTCTATTGCAAGGAGTTGCAGTAGCATGGCAAATACGGGTATTTTCGGAATGAGAGCGAAGAGACAAATGAAATGGGCGTATTCTTAGGACAGTTGGAGTAAAAAGTGTAAGGACTATTGCATATTGTGAATAGAAGGGCGGGCCTAAGTCACGATGGTACATCGATAACTTTGCTTTACCCGCTCACGGTGTGTGTGATGCGAGCGGGCCGAAGGCCCGGGCCTTCGACTGGCCAAGTTGGGCCTGATGCGAGGGCCGAAGGCCCGAGAAAAGGCCGCCGGCAGGCCAAGCTGGGCCAGCCCCCTGTCGAACCGAGTTGCCGGCGCAGCGAAGCGAAGCTGGCAACTCGGTTCGACGGAAGGGTGGGCCCTAGCTTGTTAACCTTTGGATGGGTCCTTTCCTCGTCGCGGAGTGAATTGAAGAACAAAAAACGTTAACGCTAACGCTAACGTGAAAGCAGATGATACTTATGAGAATGTTTATTTCAATGTATGAATGTGACATTTTGTCAATTTATTTCAAAGAGTAAACACTCGGAACTCTTTTTTTGAAAAATTTGTTACACATGGTAATTCATGGAAATGTCAATTTTAGTATAACTTTTGAATATCCTAACGTGCCATTGTTTTGTGTTAAACATGTTCGCAATGACGGTGGGGCACTCATATGTCCGATACCACTTGTGTTGGGTATCATTTTCGTTGTTTCAACGCGAGGATGCACAATTTGGTGGCTAATCACATAAATACTCAATACCCGTAAAAGTTGTGTTCGGTACTAGGGCAAGGCGCCTTGCGGCACGCGGCGTGTCAGCCACATCTCCAAGCGGGGCCGGCCGGCCGGCGCGCCACCCGAACCCGACCTCAAGATAGATAAGCAAGAGTGGCGCACACTGCCGACGCGCCGCTTCTCGAGAGGGGCAGGGGTTCGGGGGGCGCTGAACTACGCGTTCTACGCACTCAAGGCTCAAGTGCGTGTGTGTGTAGACTGCTGCGGGGTGTGGCGGGGTGTGGCGGGGCGCGGCGGGACGTGGCGTCTCGGCTAGGGAATGGGCGAGGGGGGCAGCTACGCGATGCGTGCTAGCAGCGTCTCGTGACGACGCGCAACGCGAGGGACGCACTTCTTGAGTACTAGAGAGCTGGGTGTCGAGGTTATACGCCGCGCGCGCAACCCGAGGCCCCGCAGGCGCCCCGATTCATGGTGCGGCGGGCGGCACGGCGCGGCAGACTGCGGGCCCTCCGCTCATAATCTTCTAGGCAGGCCAGCCAGCCGCTGCCTTGCCAGCGAGGCGCTCGGCCTCTTCTAGGCTTGCTAGTCAGGCAACGAGGCTACTCCTGCCTGGCTAGCCGGAAACTCGGTACTCTCTGCACGAGAGTACAAGCACGCTGATACGTGAACGTATCATCTGCTAAAAAAATCAGAGATCCAGGAATCAGTATCGCAGCACCTCTGGGAACTGTCAACAGCTGATCCCCAATTGGTCGTGACACGGGCGTATACATACGGCTACAGGTCTCAACAGCAGCTTGGTGGCACGCTGCTAGCTCCCTGAGTTTTGATTACTTTTGTTCTTCACTCGGCGACGAGTTCGAGTCCAAAGTAGGCTTTCCGGCCGACAGCCTTTGCAGGCCTTCGGCAGAACCGAACTGCTTACCGGTGCGGCGCACATGGCGACGCAGCGGCGCGTCGACGTCGAGGGTGTCGAGCTGCTGCGTGGCTGCAGTGGCTGCAGTGGCTGCGGGTAGGGTCCTACAGTGTAGAGCCCCACAGTGTAGGACGCTAGGTGCGGGCGTGGCGGGCCGAGGAGCAGCGGTCCGTCCGATCCGTCATGCGATCACAGATTGCAGTGTGCTGCACCTGGCACCTGCGGACACACACCGTTTTTGAGCCTTGTTGCCAACAGCGCCATGCCTTGGCCATGCTTTCCCTCGAAATGGCGACCAGACGAGCGCGGGGCCGACTCGGAAGAGTGTACACTCGCAAGAGAAATGAGCCGTGCGCAAGAGATCGGCCGCATGCCCTGTGAAAACTTTAGTCGTCCCTTGATGACAATTTCAAGGGTAATTTTCCTGACAACGACGCCATAAAAGACAGTTGATGACATTGTTTTCATGCCCATGCAATAGGTAGAGGAGCTTTGATTAAAAAGTCATCAATTTGTGATGAGATTGTCATCATTTTAAAGTGACGATTTTGTCATGGAGTGACAACAAATTTTCACAGTGTTCCCCGCATTGACAGTCACTCGCCCAGCCCGGCTCAATTCTTTTGCGAGTGAAGTGCACGTTGACTGAAGGTAGACGCTTACTATCGTCTGGGCAAGCTGTGAAAAAGAGTGCGCATGTGCACAATGCGCCTGGGTTGTTGGATGGAGTACGATGGCCGGCAATGAGTTACTTGCTATGTTAACACTTATTTACGGAATGCCCGTTAAATAGATGACAGTAAGCGTCCAGGTTGACTCCAATATGAGCCAACGATATAGGTACGTTTTCAGTTTGCAGAGTAACTCACTACTCCCCCCAACGAGCGATTTCCTTAGTGTCATAATCTGCGAGTAAGTGTCTGCAGCGAGTCCCTTTCGCGGCATTGAGGATGCCGGCCTGGTGCATGCCGGCCTGGTGCATGCCGGCCTTGGGCCTCGCAGTGCAGTGCCTCTCACTGGCCCTGGAGGGCGCCGAGACGACCAACGGAGCGAGAACCGTCCGCACTCCTCCCCACTGTCCAACCAAGTGTGGAGAGCACGGTGCGGAGTATCTCCACTCTTCGGACATTTTGCAGCGCAGTTGCGAGGGTTTGGCTGGACAATCGGTATGCTAATTAGGTCCGTGCGTCGCGGACGTCGCGGGTATCCCCGCCGCCAGGGAACCCCCTGCCGAGTGCGTCATCCAATGCACTCTCAAAACCTTCATCCGTATTTAACGTCTTTTAAGCTCAATTATGCCTAAAAATTATCAGGATTTAGCCGAAAACACACTAAACGAACCCTAAACTAGAAATTTCGGAGAATTACGGCGAGTACTATACCGCTAGTGTGCCTAGACCGGCCTACATTAAGTACACAGCTTCCCCCCCCCCTTTTTCCCCTTTTTTGTTGTCCTTATTCGTGTTTTTTTTTTCACCGGCTAACTATAGACCGGACTCGTATTGAGTCTGTAGCAGTTTTGGCCGTGGCATTGTCTCGGCGCTAAAATTAAAATAGCGGAACGAGTTACTCGGCCACTGTATTGGTCTTGATTCATTCAGACGGCAGAAGCGCTTCGCGGCGCGCCACGCGTGGTGTTGCAGCGGCGGTGGTGGCGGTGACTGCCCCGTTTTGACGTGTCTGACACACATTTCGTGCCACACAAAATAATTCCTTCGTAAAGTAAAGAGGGGTACCGTGAGCTGGGGTGATTTTGGCCGACAGGCACTGCAACACCACTTTTAACCCACATCACCTCGCACGTCACGATGCTCGTCTCGTGTTTTGGAAGCATCGGCATCTTCTTGTTCCACAGCGATCCAAACTGCGTTTTGTCGTTCTGGAGACAGTGCCGAAGTCGCCGCAATTGCCGGCAGTGCGGACCAGTGCCGCGGTGCCCCAGTTTCCTACGGCGAGACGCGGAAGAACTGGCGACAACCCCAAACCCCAACCCTGCCCAACCACACTGTTGTCAAACTTTCGTCAGTTACAAGCCGTTTTGCTAGTTTGATTTGGAATTTTTCACCTTAAAAGTTGAAAAAAGTAAAAATACGTCAATGGAAATGGGTTTTATTGCTGTTGGTTTTCTGTTATAGAAAAAATTTCATATGGAAGACGAGTAATTTTTGTCACTTTGCCGATAGTTAAAAATAAAAGTCCACGCCTTACTTGGTGACAGTTGGCCTCCCTTCCCGCCGACAAAATAAAATGTGCACTCTACATTACTTTATACAATTTTTGTACGTGTTCTTACACGATTTCGAGCATGGGGGCGCATCTTTCGTACAGATTTGTACAGAAATTCGCAAGAATTTGTGTGATTCTGCGTTCAAAAGTTTCCGGAAAATGCCGTGGGCTCAAAATTGTGTGAGGCCACGCACCAGGAGGGCCAAGGACCCCGAGTCAAAATGTGAGGTATGCAGTGGCCCAGGCCAGAGGGGGCGGAGGGGAATGGTACGAGTATGTTTGGCAGGACTGCATACCTCTCATCCTGTCTCGGGGTTGCTAGCCCACCTGGTACAGTGTTGTACACAAATTTGCACTTCGGAGATTGTTGTTGCCCCCGTGAGGTCCCGGGTTCGTCGAAGGCCAGAGGGCGACGGTGACATAGTCTGCTGTCATCCTTGCCCCATGACGGGGGTGCTCACTTCACTTACCCCTCCGAGTGCTGTGATCTCAACGCGGGAGGCGCCCCCTGGCTCCATCCACCCCAGCCTACACTCCACCGTCCGCGACCACGGGGTGCTCGGCGTGCTGGTGCTCGTCGCGTCGCGTCGTCGCGTCCCCGCGGTGCGTGCCGTGTGCGACGTGCGTCTGGTCGAGGTCCGCAGCGTCCGCGGAGCCGAGGGCGCGAGGGAGCGACGGCGGCGCGGACTGACTGCCTGGCGGCGTGCCGCGGTGTGGCGACTGTGTCGAGCGAACTGCCCTGGCTGGGCTGTGGGCTGGCTGTCCTGCCTGTCAAGTCTCGACGGACCGACGGACGCGCTGCGGTGGCCCTGCGCGCCAAGCTCGCAACTCGGAGGCCGACACTCCACTCGCGAAACGCGCAACGCGCGCCGTAGAGGCGAGATGGATGGTGGGGCCTGTGGCAGCCGGTGGCAGCCGGTGGCAGCCTGTGGTCCGGGGGGCCGGCCGAGGGGTCCGGCAGGGCGGCAGCGGGCGGCAGCGGCCCGGTCAAGGAGTACTACTTGTCCTGGCGGGCAGGCGGGCAGGTGGGCAGGCGGGCAAGCCGGACAATGCGAAAGTGCGCGCGGCTACGCGCGGCCGGCCCCGGAGGCGGGGAAAGGGGAAGGGGCCGGGCGAGGGGGAGGGGGAGGGGGAGGGGTCTCCAAGGCGAGCGGGCGGCAAGGGCGCTGCGGTGCGGCACACTGCCCGCCGCGGACCGCGGACCGCCGATTTGTTGCAGGCTGGCTGGCTGGCTGGCTGGCTGGCTGGCGGGTAGGTGCGCGGCACGGCGCGCGGCGCTCGGCACTCGGTGGGCTCGCGGGTGGGCGGCGCGGCTCGCGGCGCCCCGAGGTGCCTGCCTGCCTGCCTGCCTGCCTGCCTGCCCCTAAATCCCCCTCGATTACGTTCGCGCCACGCCCCCGCACCGCCACCCGCCGCACCGCCCCGGCGTGCCGGCCCTCCCCGCGTGCCGGCGGCGTGCCAGCGACCAACGCCCGCCCCGCCCCGCCACCCCCCGCCCTCCGCGACGCCTCTGCGCGACGCGACGCAGACGCTAAATCCACGCGCGACGCGACGTCATGCATGCCTCCCCGCCCCGCCCCGGCCCTACCCACTCCCCTCCCGCACCCCGCCCCGCCCTCGCTGCGGCCCGGCCGCCGGCCCTCCGCACCTCGGCCCCGCAGTTCCCTGCATAGAGAGCCCCCCGCCCCAGACACACACACTTAAGACACTCTCTCACACCTACACACACCTACACACACACACACACAGAGTGAGTGTGCACAACCGTTCTCTACGTGCGATTTTCTCACTACTGCCATTTTGTTATGTCATCAGCCTGACGTACAGCGCGAAGCATTTCAAAGTGTTGCCATCCAGCGGACGCTCCCAGAAAGGGCCTTTTGTGCGAGGCATGGCATGCGGCACTGGAAACGACAGTGCGAACTAACGGGCATGACTTTTGCCCTTCGGAGGTGGCCGACAAGCTGCCTGCATTGTTTTCCTGGATTCCGTACAACGCTTCTGTCGCCCTGTCACCCCACGAGAGCGAAATAGACAGCACCACTCACAGGAGTCCACGGTGACGTCGTCCCGGACGCGGTCGCACACCGGGCTACGGCACTGGCGGCCGGGCGGGTCGACGGGCAGTGCGGGCAGCTGCGGACATCTCCTGTCGCTTTGTCTCTCTCACACCCATGGGGCGCCCCGTACAGGCGAGAGCGACAGAGCGACGAAAACGACTCTCGGAATGAGTCTGGTGGCGCGGCGCGCTGCAGCGTGCGGCCGCGTGCCGGTGAGCCCTGGGCGGCCCTGGGCGGCCCTAGGTCGATGCACGGCCGCGGGGGACTAGGCCAACACCGGTGCAGGTGCACACTGTGGGGGCCCGCAGCCTAGGGAATACAGCCCGCCGCCCTCTCGGCCTCTTGGGCAGTGCACTGGGCGGCAGGGCTGTGCAGTGTGCCAGAGGGTTGTGGGTTGTGCCCGGTGGCGCGGTGGCCCGGCCCTCGAAGGTGCAGTACAGTCCATTCCCCGGCCTCGCTTCACCTATTGGAAGGGGCAGGGGCTTGACCCCCTGACCAGCTTGCCTCCATGGGGGAGTTTTGCCACGGTTTTGCTGAGGCCCCCACCACATGTAGGCACCGCCACCCGAACCAACCCTTCGCAAACGCCCCGGTTCGTGGAACTTCCCCATAACGACGGCCACGCTCACTGAATCCGCTCAACACTCTGGATCGCAGTTTGAGGAATCTCGGAACTCGCCAGCCTGGCCGCTTCTTGTCCGCCCGGTGGCTAGGCAACCCATCGGCCGCGGCGATCGCTCGTCAGCGGGTGTGGTGTGACTGGGTGTGACGTCCAGCACCGCCACGAAGTGCGCGAAGTGGTGGCCGCACTCGAGTGCCAGTTTGCCTTCCATCCGGACTGCTGGCTGGGAAGTGTCCAGCGCCTGCGAGGTAGGCCACCCATCCGTCCCGCAACGCACACGAGTGGAGACGGTGGCCTACCGTGCCCCTGTGAGGCTGAGGCGCAAGGTAGGCCACAGTCTCCACACCGGTGTGTTGCGGGACGGATGGGTGCCTACCTCGCAGGCGCTCCAGGCCCCCTGAGGTGACTTGAGCGGCCAGACCAAAGCCACAGCGGCGCTCTGCACGGATGCCTGAGACAGTATCTCTGTGGCCACAAACAGGGACGTTCGGGTGTGCTCGCAAACGAATGAAGGTTTGACACCTTCATTGGGAGGCTTGGCTTGGGAATGGTCCCTGCCAAACAGCATGGGATGGACGTAATTTGCGTGTTCTTCATTTCACTTCGAATTCAAATCTCGCGCCACAATGTAACCTCGCGCAGCTGGCTCTCGTCAAACAAACATGGCCGCGGCCGCTGTCAGTGTCGGTCTAACCTTAGAAATGGTTAGCGATTCTCTACCTCTAGCTTTGTTTTGTGATGTGATCGTAGCGGGTAGAGTATGCAAATGTCTGAGACTTGTCGATGGTCTTTGGCTCGTGCATCTGCCTTGTAGTCTTTACTTGGTTGCCACACGCTATAAGATTGCCATAACCAGTTTATCTGATACCCTTTAAGAGTTTGATTGAATGTTGTTTGTTTCCTTTTTTCTAACAGGTGTGGTGTTTCAGAGGAGTGTTGAATCGAGGCTGTTCAATGATCAGGTCCACCCCTATTAGCAGAGTCCAATGTAAGACGTTTTCTGTCTCTGGAATAAGATGCAAAGACAATGAAGACATGAATTCCCTCAAAACAAATCCTTATTTTGACAAATACTCCCAAAAAATTTCTCAGCTTGAGAAATCAACGCCAGAAGAATTATCTCAACGCATAACTGCTATTCGAAGGAAGGCGAAGTCGTTCAATTCACGCCAAGGGGAGTCCCAGGCCACATCGTCAAATGAAACATCGCCATTCTCCAAAAAGAAGAGCTTGGATGATATTGTCAAGTTGGACCTTTTAAAGAAGAAGTCTCCCCAAGAAATCACAGATATTTGGTTGCAGCACTTTGCATCTGCAAAAGATTCTATTTCTGTAGTCATATCAGCCAAAGTGTATAGTTTGATTCTTGACACCAAATCTAACCATCCAACATTTCTCTTGCCTTTACCAAGACAGCATGGTTACGAATATTTTGTTAGTCAATCTTGTGGTAATGAATTTCATTTTACTCCACTCATTAATTACCAAACTTTCAAGGAGAATGCTCCAGAATGTCTTGCATTGACTCATTTCACTGAACTAGCCAATGACAAAGACATAGTGTTGATGCAGGGTGAATTCAATGATGATGTGTTAAATATTTCAGAAGCTATGTGTTTGACAAACCAAATACATAGATATTATGGTGAAAACGACATCAAGCGTCAAAATTTACTTGCGAGATTTTCTAATTCGCCTGAAGAGTTTAGACATATGGACCTAATTGTAGAACTTGAGAGATTGGCAAGTTAGGTTTATGAGTTCATGATCAAATCATCAAATAAGGTAACAGTTTGAATTCTTCTGTTGCTTTATTCAAATTTTTTCTTGTGATATATGTTAATTAACAATATCAAACTGAATATAGGGGTACAGAAGAAAACCAGATGAATAAAAGTTCCAGTTTCAAATTATCAATGGAAAAAAATAATCTTTTGTTCCAAGACTGCCCACTGATCAAAAATTCTTTCTCTGTAGAAAATAATTGGCTATCACAAAAATAAAATTCACTCAACTTTTCACAAGAAATATATGTCTCCATAACAAGATTATTACAATTCACACACAATCAATTCATATGAGGAGGGTCTAAGTACATCATCTCATAACTTAGTATAATAGTTTAATATCATTTTGAAGGACCCAGTTGACTCTAATTGCACAACTCTTAAAATCCATAATGGAACAGTTAAGGATATCACCACAATTCAAAGAATGAAAAGTGAAACCAAAGAACAAAATTAAGAGGGTAAAGTTTGAGAGCTATAATGACAGCAGTCATGACTGACGAATACAAGAAAAAGAGTAAACCACAGTTGAGACTTTAAACATCTAGCTCTAAAAATTAAGAAAAAAAAAAAGGGAATTAAGAAGTGCCCAAAGATGTTAAAGCAGATCAAAGTGAGATTGGTTTAAAAGATACCATAAGCATTAAGTATGGCTTGGTAAGTACACTCAGGAGTGGAATGGAGCATCGTAGCACTCTTTAATATGCACTACGAGAGAAAACTTATGCAAAGTGAAGAAAAGCAATATGTTGAAATGAAGCTGAATTTTTAAGAAAACGTCACTGATTGATTTTACAGACACCTTTCCGTAGGTTTGCTCTTCTCACAAATTTTACTTTAAAAAAATGGTTGAGCATGGCACACTTCAACAAACACTATAATGAATAATTAGAGAAGCTTGTCAAAGGCAGGTACCCTAAGAACCGATTTGAACAGAAGCATAAATAGGATTATTATTGCAAGAAAGATTTCATTGTGAAGTGAGTTGCCACTGGCTTGTACATGTAACTCAAAACTACCCAGATTGTAACTGCATCTTTTTCAGAGCTATCAGAAACTTGACTAGTCCACATCATCTCAGATGAAAATAAGATCTTCTCTACACAACTCTAGGCCCGACAACCTAATGTGAGAGGGAATGTTATTTAGACATAACAGGTGTCGGCAAACATTTTGCCTCCAAGTTAAAAATAATAATATCTAAAAAAATTAAATTAGATGGATCTCTCTACAAATTGTTTCACTAGTTTTTGATTCAAAAATAGAACAAACCTGAATTATTACATGAATGGGGAAATGTTGACTGGTTTCAGTTTTATGGGAATCTAAAATATATCTGAGAAATCCAGTGAGGTACAAGTGTTTATCCAAGGAACCAATTCTCATGGCACAAATCTAACCTTAGAATGTTGGAGGTTGTTTGTTTCGCCTTCATTAAACAAGTAGAGATTAAACACTTTGCAAGTACTTCTGCACAAAGTCCTTAATGTCTTTCATTTCCTGAAAAAAAATAAGAAAAAAAAAGGCATTAGACAATGAAATTAAAAAAAAAAAAAAGATATGGTTTAGAGTGAAAACGTATTTTAACAAGAATAACCTACCTCATCAGAGGAGGAATGCATCAAACCACTGTATGTTTTAAACTCACTACTCTTGAGGAAGTTCTTAAGGAGTGATGCAGTCATTTGGCCCCACTTGAAAGGCACAATCGGATCACAATCTCCGTGGCACTGCAGGAAAGGGGTGTCCTTGTTGCCTATCACATACTGCAAATGAAGTTTAAAAATCAAAGTTGAGCATGTCCAGCATGACTATAATTCCTGCTTGAGCCGAAAGATATGGTTGCTTACATCTGGGAAGCTCTTGTTCAAAGGCAGCCAACAGGATAGTGCAACAACACCAGCCAAGGGCTTGGCGTAAGTAAGAGCCGAATAAAGGGCCAAAGCCCCACCCTGAGAAAAACCTCCAATTAAGATCCTATTGGAAGGAATGCCAGCACTGATTTCAGAGTCAATCATTGAATGGATGAGCAAAGAAGCTTTTTTGATTCCAGCTTCATCCTCTGGACCATTGGGATCAAGCGACCTCAAGTCAAACCTGAAACAGTTCAGACTGTAAGAGACAAAACATTCATTGTAGACAAAAAAAGCTAGAGCAGTGATTAGCTCACCATGCTGGCATCTTGAATCCAGAATTGAGCGTAACTGGCATGGTCTGAGCAGTGGGGCAAATGACTTTCACGAACGGAGATCTCAGTGCACCCATGGCACTAGCCCACCCATGACCTGTGTCTCCCAAACCATGAAGAAAAATAAGCTGAAACAGAAAAGACGAGCATCAACTGAAAACTTGAACATTTGTGTTGTGAAAAAGACCCAAACACAGTTAAACAGCTGAATCGAAAACACCATGATTATGTAATAAAGCCTTAAAACAATGTTGGTAGCCATATAAGGCACGAGAATACTCGAAAATTCGCTCCATACCAATGAGTCAAAAGTCGAAAGGAATCATAGCAAGTAGTCTCACTCAATAAGGGACGAAATGAAGGAACTCACTGTGGCTGTGTGTTTGGCTGTGGCTGCAATCACGACTGGTGTTCCTGCCATGTCTAGGCTTGTTCTGTTGTAGGAACGTGAATGGTCAGTGGTTTCTCCTGAATCAATCACTCCCCCGGACACAAACGAAATAATACAGGCAAGCAAGACAAGTTTCACCAATGGCCCTCTGGCTTTGACTTCTGATAAGCGCTTGCGCTTGGCCACAGACGACAAAATTTGATGTTTTTTTGTCATCGTTATGACAAGAAAAATCTATAACTTGTAGAAGCCTGTGGAAAGCCCGCCAAGTTTTCGGATTTCAAGTTTGCCAAAGGCCAAACCGAATTCTTCGGAGTTCAGTGTCAGTTTACCAATGCGGGAGCCAGCGCAGCCACCGTATGGACAAATTCGACACCAGATGCACCAGATGGTGTTGAGTGCTGCAACAGACGGGAATTACATAATTGTTGAAACTAAAACGAAACTGCAGAAAATTGAATGTGCTATGCTCCTGGCATTCGGCAAGTTTCCAGAAAGCATGCAGAAAGTTATGACCAGTAAATCTACATTTCCTGTTTGTATTTAAATTGTCTCTTTTCCTTGTTTGAAACAATAATAAACTCATTTATCTCCTTTTACGCCTTTAATCCACTTTACCCCATTTTTTGTTAGCTGTCATGAACCAAAGCAGACTATACTCGGCCTCCAGGAAGTTTATGAAGTGTACCAAGGCACTAAAAGTAAGCCACATGAAGTCATCGCTCTTGACTCTATACTTTGCGATTATAAACAGTTGCTTTTACATTTCTGAGAAAATTCTAACTTTTATTTGCGTAGGAACGAAAATTCTATGCTCACAACGGCAGAGACATTCTGTTTTGTTTTTTTTCTTCAAGCTAGGCAGCTCTGAGGAAACAGTTGAAACCGGCAGTGTGACGGTGACGCCATTTCCATTTTTGGAAGGCAGTGACGACGCGCTGGGACGCTGCGCCGGTTGTGAGGGTGCAGTTATCAGTGCCCGAAAAATCAATTTGCTCAAATTTTAGCGGTATCTAAGTGTTTGCCGTCATCATGCAGGCGCACAGCAAAAAGCGCGTTTGCTACTATTATGATAGTAAGTACACATCGAAATGTTTTGTCGTCTGTTTTCGTTTTACCCAGTCGGGAACCAACCCACACAGTGATTTCAGTTCGGCCCGCTTGAGAATCATTTTTTCTGCTGCATGTACCTTTTTGTCCTACTGTAGAATCTAGTATTATGGTCGAATTTAATCTAATTCATTTCGGTTTAAATTTTTGTGCGTTAGATCTAGCTATTGTGATGTGTGATCGTCGGGGACTGTTTTTGGCGTCGCATCATCACTTGTTCCCGGCTCCATCTTGCTCAGAGCACCGTAGTTTCTGGCTGCCGCGGTTTGTGCAATTGTTAGTCGGCATCTCGTGTGTACTTGGTCATTATGTCATGGTGGATGACAATTTCACCACTTATTCGTGGTTTCAACCGTGTCTTGCACACTTTCCGTCCATTCGATGCAGTGGTTTTGTTGTTTACGGCCGGACTTGACGTTATATTTCCATTTATTCGGGGCGGAAGTACGGTTCACCGAAGCCTTGTTTTGGCCGGGGCTGCCGTGCCTAGCCGTGCCGGGGCGGCATTGCTTGCCTTGCCAGCCTTGCCGGTACAGCACTGTGCTGTCAATAATATTCTATTTGTTTTGAGTTATTTTTTTAGATTTTACTCTTATTTAATTCTGCAGTGGATATTGCTCACTCTTTTTAAATTGATATCCTGTGCATTCTTTAACATCTTATGTGCTTTCATGTAATATTCTGCTTGATGTATGATTGCCCGCTCTAACTCCTTGCAATGTTTTCAGGTGACATAGGCAATTACTATTATGGCCAAGGCCACCCCATGAAGCCACACAGAATACGCATGACACACAATCTTCTTCTGAACTATGGACTGTACAGGAAAATGGAAATCTATGTAAGTGTTGTGATGCCTTTCATAATACTCATTGCTACATGATTTTAAAAAATTTCTTTCACGGGTTTACCTAAATATTATGTTTCATCATCTAGAGACCCCACAAAGCTACTGCTGAGGAAATGACTAAATTTCACAGTGACGAATATGTCAGATTCTTGCGTAGCATCAGGCCTGACAACATGTCCGATTACAACAAGCAAATGCAGAGATGTAAGTTGAAAGCTAGTGGTTACATTCCTCAGGCATTGTCATGTTTATATTCACTAACAGTATTTTTCTCTTGCAGTCAATGTAGGAGAAGATTGCCCTGTGTTTGATGGTTTGTATGAGTTCTGTCAGTTGTCTGCTGGTGGCTCAGTTGCTGCTGCTGTGAAACTCAACAAGCAGGCCTCAGAGATTTGCATCAATTGGGGAGGTGGACTTCATCACGCCAAAAAAAGTGAAGCTTCAGGTAAGGATGTTAGGATACTTGTATTTTGGGAGGTAGGTGTCTTTTTTTGAGGGAGGATTAATCATTGGATAATAATTTTATTGTTTCCTGTTATCAGGGTTCTGCTATGTGAATGACATTGTCTTGGGCATCTTGGAACTCCTAAAGTATCATCAGCGAGTTTTGTACATTGATATTGATGTTCATCATGGAGACGGTGTTGAAGAAGCATTCTACACAACCGACAGAGTTATGACAGTCTCATTCCACAAATATGGAGAGTACTTCCCAGGAACGGGTGATCTTAGGGTAAGGTGATATTTGTCTAAATGTTTAGTACTATATAGTTCTGTAAAAAAAAAATAATTGTATTTTAATAACAATTTGTACCAATCTTCCAGGACATTGGCGCTGGAAAAGGAAAATATTATGCTGTTAACATCCCACTTAGAGATGGCATGGATGATGACAGCTATGAATCTATTTTTGTTCCCATCATTTCTAAAGTAATGGAGACCTTCCAACCTAGTGCAGTTGTGCTCCAGTGCGGTGCTGACTCACTGACTGGAGATAGATTGGGTTGCTTTAATCTTACTGTCAAAGGTATGGTGTCTTTCCCCATGATTTTCTTTCCTGTCACTTCTTTTGGAATCCTCATACTTCCTCAATGTAATGTGTCTGTAAGTGCACTTTTAAATTATATGTTTTAACATTTTTACAGGACATGGTAAATGTGTAGACTTTGTGAAGAAATATGGCATGCCATTCCTCATGGTGGGCGGTGGAGGCTATACCATCAGAAATGTCTCCAGGTGCTGGACTTATGAAACGTCTGTGGCACTTGGCACAGAAATAGCAAATGAGTTGCCATACAATGACTACTTTGAATATTTTGGACCTGATTTCAAACTCCACATTAGTCCCTCGAATATGGCAAACCAGAACACTCCTGAGTACCTTGAGAAAATAAAGTTAGTGATACTTCCTCTCAATCAATAAGTCTCTGTTTCTATGACTGAAAGCTTTTCTAATGGTTCATTTTCCTTTTAGGACAAGATTGTTTGAGAACTTGCGGATGCTGCCTCATGCCCCAGGAGTTCAAGTTCAGGGTGAGTTTGCAGACTTCCATCCATGGTATTGCTGTTCTAATGTTTTTTCAGAATCCTTATTTACCATTGTTACCCGTTCTTGCAGCCATTCCTGAGGATGCTGTTAGAGAGGAGTCTGATGACGACGACAAAGCAAACCCTGACGAGAGACTCCCCCAGATAGCCCTTGATAAGCGTATTGTTCCGGACAATGAATTCAGCGATTCGGAAGATGAAGGTGAGGGTGGGCGAAGGGACCAGCGCTCTTTCAAGGGACGCAAGAGGCCGCGGTTAGACACCAAGCCCGCAGGTGACAGCGAGGATAAATTGAAGACAGAGATAGATGGAGCCAAACCAGAAGCCAAGAGTAAGTAACATACCATCTGCCTGCCACACCTGACTGGTAAAGGAAAGTCTGCTCACTGAAATTGTGTATTTATTGAAATCTTTTTCTTTATTCAGCTGAAGAAAAGGATGACAAGGTGTCCTCAAACGATGAATCCAAAAAAGAGACTCCTCCGAATCCATGAGATTCAATTTCCCCGAGTTATAGACTCGGGGGCAGTGGTAGTGGACACATGTTGTCTTGGCGATTCTGATTTCGCCAAGCTTCTTTCATCAGTACCTGCTCATAACTACCACTGATCAGACAAGTTCTGTTCATCCATTGTTGCGCCAAATAACATTGGTTGTACTGGGTGAATGTTCATCTAATGCAACTTAAGTTCAAGTTATTTATCTAAAGTATTGACTCCTAACAAGAAGGATTGAGTGCATCGTGACCTACTTCTTCAATGCAGTTGATAGTGTGATTGAGGTTTCCTGTGTGGAGAGAGACCCTATACAGTTAATCAATTTTACCATACAATGCTCACCATTTGAAAAGTTCTCATGGAAAATTCTTCCATGTGCACTTGGCACTGCATTGTTCAGTCGGTGCCAGTGTGTGTGAGTTGAGTATGTGATCTCCCCGTGTACAGTTGGTGTTGTTATTCAAATAGGATTAGGTCTGAATTTTGATCATTGTACTGTATATTAGGCTTAGTATCGTTTTAAAACTTACATTGTTACGTGTTCATTTTCATGTAACAGTATGATATGCTTCATCAATTTTGTTTTGCATGTCTCTTCTCTTTACAAGAGGCTTTAAGTGATTCTTGAAAAAGTCACTTTTGTGAATAGTCGTCATTTTATTAAATTACACATTTCTGTGATCTGACTCAATCTCTTATTTAATAATTTGCATTGAATTTATGCTTAATGCTGTTTAACCAGAATTCTTGTGCCCCCTCAGACTGGTATCAAAGTGACAGCTGTAGTACCTATGTTAAATAAATTTGGTTACTTGCAAGTAATATTATTAGCCTTGTATTAAACCGGTCGTCATCTAGATACTTAAGTACAGTACCTGACGATTTGGAAGCTGGAATTTGGAATTCTAGTTACACAGAAGCATGTGGTCAAAAACCCATTTTAAATTTTGTGAATTGTTACTTGTACCATAAAATTTTCCCTCATCTTGAAAGGTACTACCTCGAGTTTCTGAATAATTTTTTGTTTGTTTTTGCATTTTACAGAGAATTGGTTGTCATACTTGTATATTTTTTTATTGCTGTGCTTTGTGATGTCATGTACGGGGCTCTTATCTTGCATTTAGTCGTAGTTGAGTGAATTGTGTATTGCTGCTACTGCCGTCAAAGTGATTATTTTCTGTAATCAGTCTCCTTTTGTAAATGAATGCCTTGAGGAATCAAAGAGTCTTTGTAATATCAGCCATTGTATTGATAAGTGATGGTACGGTAAAGGACCTGCCCTTTTTTTCTGCTTTGAAATATGACATCCTCTCTAAATTGCTTAAGATCAATTGGCTGGTAACACTGTGGACCTCTGTGCAATACAAAGTGAGATTTGTTTATTTATGTAGTAATCAATTTACAAATCTTTTTCTTTTTAAAATAGCGATTACTGTACATAGGTTTCAGAGGTACACAGGAATTACAGGTTCACCAAAGCAATTTCAAGGAAGTCAAAGTACTGTAGTATTAATTGGTTTGTTAATTATTTTATTTTAAGTTTTTATCAACACATAGTATATTTAGTTACTATGTTGTATTACCTTTTACCATACCAACACTCAACTTCAACTTGGCGATAAAATTAAAGCACATTTTTATGAACTATAACTAGCTTACTTTTACTTCCATCATTACCTGTTTGCCATTAAGCTCTTCAAAGCGACTGACAGAAAATAACTAGGAGAGGAAGAGGACCTAGGGCTGCCGCTGCCTCACATTGCTTGTCTTTATTTTTTTTTTTTAGAATTAATTACACACTTGGTCGCTTTGAAACGGTTCCTTTCTGTGAGAAGCTGTGCACTGCATTGCAGCAACAAGACACCTCAGCTAACAATACTGTTGTAAAGTATCGATTATATTTTCAATGTACATCTCATTTGAAGTGGGCGCTCCTGGCATTGTGCAAAAGATGACGAAATCAGGAAAGGGCAAATGAAAATGAAGCGTTCTCGACGAGATGAGCGCGCCTGAAGTGTGAAGTTGGCTGCAAGCTTGCAGTGTGTGCTGGCTGCCCAGTGGCGGTCCTAGTGGCGCGGCACCTCGTTCTCCACCCTGGTGAGCGCCACGTTGCGCGCCGTCTCCGTGGAGAAGGGCACGGCGTCCCCCATGGCGAAGCGCTTGTGCGTGTCCAGGCAGTGGATGGCCGCCGTCAGCGCCAGGATCTTGCCGGACAGGTCCCTGTCGGTGGCCACCAGCAGGTCCTCCATGCCGTTGTACGTCGCCCTGGAGGGACACGGACAACATGGCGAGCCGAGTCAGTCTCCAGTCTCGGCACTTGGACAGGACAGTCTGCACACGCCAAGTGTGGAGTTCTCAACGTGAGCAGCTCCACACTTGGTTAGACAGTGGAGGCTCGTCGCTGGGCTGACTGAGGCCATGCTGAGGACTTACTTGGCGTGGTTGAGCTTCTCCAGCAGCTCCTGCATGGTGCGGCGCACCTGCAGCACCTCGTCGCACAGCCCCACCATGGGCTCGTCGCGGGCCTGCTCCAGGCCGGGTCGGTACTTGCGGTTGTCCAGGCGACTCTCGGCCAGCATCAGGCACTCGGTCTTGTCCCGCAGCGCGCGCGTCAGGTCCTCGATCTCCTTGTGCAGGCGCGCCATGGCCTCCTTGAGCTGCGAGCGGAGCAAACGTGAGAATGGCAAGGTGGCGGAGGGAGGGCTGCACAGTGGGTCAGAAGAACAGCGCGGATGGCCAAATCTCTAGACGCGTTTTGAGCTCAATCGATTGGTGGGGTCACACGTTCGGTTCGTATCCCATTGCTCCAAACGCGTCTACTAGAGTTACGGCCGCCGGCGCCGGTCTTCTGGCCCACTGCGGACTGCTTGAGACCAAACTGGGCCGACTCACGTTCGCCTTCTGCCACTCCAGCTCGTTCTTGGCGCGCTGCGTCTCGTAGACGCACTTGCGCATGGCGAACTCCGTGGCGTCCTTGTGGGCCGTCAGATCGTTCCTGGCGCGGGCGCGAGCCACCTGCATGGACGGACGCAGACTCACTGTCTCGCTCCCAGTTTGAGGGGCAACGAAAACGACTCTCGGATATGCACTGGTAAAAACAAAGGCATTAAAACTACGCCCTCAAGGACATTAACAGGCCCAGAAGGGCATTCAAGTTTGACCTGGAAGTCTTACGCCCCCCTCTGGAAAAGGCGTGAACCGCTTACGCCGGGCGGGGGCGTCGTTTTAATGCCTTTGTTTCGCCGAAGCGGCTTCGTCGACGCGCACCTGCATGGCCTCGCGGAGCTTGGCGCTGCTGGCCAGCTCGTTGTCCCCGCGCAGCTTGGTGCAGCGGCAGTGCTCCAGCCAGGACTCGTAGGGCACGATGCTGGGGGCAGACAGAGACAGGCGGCACTTGTAGCGGCACTTGTAGGGAGGCTTTGCAGTTGCAGTGGAGCAGCGCAGCCATGGCGTGGCCCAGCGGCTCCACCCTTCGGATCGAGATCCCAACTATAGGGTCGCCGAAAAATTTCTAAGGGTCGCCGAAAAATTTCTAAGGGCTGCGGCTTTGGGTTGCGCGGGGTGTATTTGTCAGGCCAAGAGTATTTGATTTCGGCCGCCATTTGGTTGCGAACCGCTGGCGTATCCAAAGCACGTGGCTTGGTGGGCGCCGGGCGCCGCTGGGCCGGGGCTTACTTGTTGACGGTCTCGCACGGGTCGGGCTTGAAGGTGATGCTGGCGCAGTGCCTGTCCCTGGCCAGGTTGTCGTGGTCGATCTCCAGGGTGTCGTCCTGGTCGCGCGTGGCCTGCCGCAGCGCGCACGCCGCCTCCTCCAGCCGGTTGTGCTGCTCGAAGGCCGCGTGGCAGCGCTCCGTCAGCATGGCCTTGTGGGCCTCCAGCGCCGCGGTCTCCTGCGAGGGCGGCACAACCACTCAGAACGTGCCGACACACTCGACAGTGTTAGTTCTAGCAGTGTAGGCATGCGCACATCCTTGAGCTCCTGCTCGCGCTCGGCGTCCACCAGGTCCGGGGCGACGCGCCTGTCGATGATGGCGGCGCACTCGGCCTCCACCAGGAAGCACGTGGCGATGTTCTCCAGCTCCTGCTCGCACACCTCCTTCTCGGCGGCCAGGTCGCGCTGCTCCGCCTCCACCTGGCGCAAGCAGCGCCGCAGGATCTCCTGCCATCGGCCGACCTGGACAAAGCAAGGCCTCAGGACAGTGCCATTTTCTCGATGATGCGAAAGAAATCAGTTTTAGCGGTATGTTACAAAGTCAGCTGCACCACCATATCAAGGATAATTTTCACCATATTTAGAAGAATTTTCACCATGTGAAGTAGGGATGCAAAAATACCGGTAAGATTTAAAGTTACGTAAAATACGGTAAAATACGGTATTTTACCGTATTGTACGGTAAAATTGGGTAAAATTGATTTTTCTTGACTTTAATGCGACACCTCCTAGGAACAAGCGGCTTTCTTCCGAGAGCTTCCAGACACTCGGCTATCTCGCAGTAGCTTTCAGACACTCGGCTATCTTCCAATAGCGTCCAGACACTCGGCTATCTTCCTGAGCGCTTCGGAGACTCGGCTAACTGCTTTTCCCACTTCCCGAGTTTGGGTGCGTATATATTTTAAACCAGTTGAAATGCCCTCACCGGGACCTAACCAAAATGTGTCAAAAGTTTGTCAGAGTAGATTAAAATCATGGCGTGAGCATGTCTTGATAAGGGTAACAAAGAAAAACGCTATCGAAAGGACAACCCTAACCTCTCCGCAGAAGTCAGTTAGCCGAGTCTCCGAAGCGCTCTGGAAGATAGCCGAGTGTCTGGAAGCTACTGAGAGATAGCCGAGTGTCTGGAAGCTACTGAGAGATAGCCGAGTGTCTGGAAGCTCCTGGAAGATAGCCGCTTGTTCCTAGGAGGTGTCGAATGGGTAATTCTGGTACCTCTCGTGAAAATAGGGGGGGAAAAGGTACGTTTAGGTGAGGGTGTATCGGTAAAATCGTTTCATACATACTTCCAAGCCAACATGACTTAAGAACAATGAAGCATTTTGAAAGACAAGGACCAAACACTGTGTGGGTTAAAGATATGAACTATTATCTGACTTACTGACCCCTCCCCCTAATGTCTGAGGACTTTCCCTTTTTGTAAATAAATTTTGATTCTGCCTGGTTCTTTTGACCGTAAATTAACAGCCCAAATATACTGAAGTGCAAAAATGTTGCCTTTTTTATCGTTGTCCATGTAAGTTGGCTCAATTTCATGAAAACTCTTTTTCCTGAAAGGCATCGGCGACCCCATGGTGTCCAATCATGTCAATGTTCATTGAATTTTTCAGCTCGAATAACTAACAAGTATCTACCTCTATTTCTTCCTATTTTCTGTTTAAAGTTAGTTTACATTATACTTATCTTGGCAACAAAGAAGTTTCTGGTTTGGCTCGTGTAGTTAAATTTTAGTTTCCACAAGTTTTGCAAAAGAAGAGAACATTGACTTCTTGCTTTGTCTTAAGTGCCCAGAGATGATGTCTTACACGTACATGGGGCAGCGCGAGGGGCAGATACGAACCAAGAGTTCCCAAGAGGCGCTGTTTTCAGTCCCTACGTCCTAATTCGTCGTGTGGAAGCAAAAGAAGGGCAAATAAGTCAATATTTCAAAATTACCGAAAAATACCAATTTTACCGGGGTCTCCGTAAAATACCGTATTTTACCGTATTATACCGTTCTTTACCGGTAATATTACCGGCCTTTACATCCCTAATGTGAAGGGGAGTTTTCACCATATTAAGGAGAATTTTCGCCCTCACGATGGGACTTTGAGAGTGTATTCCGTGGCGCCTCGCAGTGTACCACAGTGTACTCGCACCTCGGTGACGCGGTCGGCCAGGCGGCATTCGTTGTGGTAGTTGTCCCACTTGGTGCGGACGCGCGTCTCGTTTCGCAGTGTGCGCGCCTCGTTGCGGAACGCGAAGCCGTCCGCGCGCGCCGTCTGGCCGCACTGCCGCAGCGCCCACACGCCGGCCTGCCAGTCCGCCTTGCTGAGGTGCGGCAGCGGCTTCTGCTGCGACGACAGCGACAGCTGCGTCGACATCATGGCGGCGGGGCTGCGAGTCCTGCTGGGCAGGCCGGGGAAAAACACTCAGTGGCGGCACTGCCCGGCACTGCCAGGACTGTCAAAGAAGACGCTTGAAATTTTAATGGGGAAGTGTGGACTTTGCAGTCGCCGCACTTGGAAGTGCAGAGGTTGCGGTGCCCACACTGCAAGTGCAGAGGTTGCGGTGCCCACACTGCAAGTGCGGCGACTCCAGCAAAAGTAGTGTGGCTCAAGGAGCGCCTGCCGCCGCTGCGATGCAGTCCCGTCGCACTCCGGTGCGCGCGCCGGGCCAGGCTTGCCTACCCAGCCCGGCGTCCTGGAGGAGCTCCACCGAGCTCCACGCCCTTGGCGCTTACTCCCGGAGGCAATCCACCCCACATTGTAAACACGACACTCCTCCGATTTAGGAGGGCCTGCTCTCTAGAGTAACTTAATAGCAAACACGGATAAATAAATGAACAAAAATAAATGAAAATATGTTAAGAGTTGCTTGAGGCCCGCGCGGGCAGAACAGAACGACTAAGAATGTGCGCATTTTTACAGCCATTGCGAAAATGAAAACCTTGAAAACCTGAAAACACTGAAACTGACGCAGCGCACCCAGCAATAGTCTCACCTCTACAGTGCCGGTTGCAGGCGTTGCAGGCCGAGCTACGGGGCGCGGTGCGTCGGGACCGAGAGCACCGAGTGCCGGGGCCCCAGCATGTGCCTGGCCGCACAACCTGTCCGCCACGCCGAAGGGGCCTGCGGGCCTAGAGGGACCGAAAGGGGGAAGTTGTTGATTGTCGGCGGAGCGTTACCCGGGTAACTCACTCCGACTCCACGAACTCCACCCACCTCGCCGACGGGCTTTCACGCTTTCACGCTCGAGGCTGAGGCGGGGCGCCCGCAAGCTGGAGAGTGCCACTCCGCCAGGCCTTCGTCGGGCCAGGCCTCCCTGGCAATTATACCAGCCCAGGCTGATGGAGAGTCGAATTAAATTGCGATCCCGCCTCTCGACTCTTGGCCGGTCAGGATGGATGACAAAACGAACGACCTAGGTACACGTCGTGTCGGTCCTTGACGCGTCGACAGTCGACACAGTTCACCAGAAATCTCGTGTGTACGGGCTTTTGAGGCTGCTCGTGGCTGGGGTCGTTTCCACCGGCCCTTTTGAGTGGGCCTGTACTTGTACTGTACCCCACCTGGTTGCCCGGCCCGGCCCGGCCCGGCCCGCCCCGCGTGCCGCGCCGCCCGCCCGACGCCCCGCGTGGGGACGCCGTGAACGCCACCCTCCCTGTGGCGGCGAGGGGCGGCGGGCGGCGGGGCGCGCAAGGGGTGGTCGCCCGCCCCGCCCCGCCCCGCCCCGCCCCGCCCCGCCCCGCCTCGCCCCGCCTCGCCCCGCCTCGCAGCCAGCCTGGCGCACGTTCTTTGTGCCTGCCGGCCCGGCCGCCCCGTCCACCGCGGCCGCCGCGCCTCTCCACGGCTCTCCGCCGCCGTCAAGTCCCTCTCGCTCCTCTCGCCGGCGGCGCCGCCAGCCGCGCCAGCCGCTCATTGTCCCATTAGCAACGCAAAGTAACGCATTGTCCTGCCGAGAGGCGAGAAGCGGACGGACGGACGGACGGACGGACGGGGCGCGGGGGCGAAGCCAGGGTGGAAGCGGAGCGCTTCAAATCCAAGTGGCGAGACTGCACTGCGAGTCGGTGGATGGAAGTCGAGGGCGCCACGGAGCACGCCGCCCGACGCCGCCCGTCGGCCCAGCAGACTGATACCCAGAGTTGTTTTACCCCCCCCCCCTCTCTCTCTCTCTCTCTCGCACGGAGAGAGACAGACCCCGTATAGATGGGATGCTCCATGGGTGCGAGAGAGACAGAGCGACGAAAACGGCTCTCGGAATCCGTCTGCAGAACGCGGCCTCGGGGACGACGACGCTGACGTCGTGGGGCATGTGATGGCGCTGCGGGGACGGGTACCACGCGGAGGGCGTCGGACCGTCGGACCCTCGTCGGGCGGGGCGGGGCGGGGCGGGGCGGGGCGGGGCGGGGCTGGCGGCGCATGCCGGGGCCTAGGGCGGCCTGGGGCGGCCTGGGGCGGCGCGGCGCACCCCGCGTGGGGCGTTAGGGCGCGGTGCCTCCCTTTGGCGGTGCCTCCTCTCTCTCCCCGCGCCCTCCGCACCCTTCTATTGATCGTCGTGCGCTGCACCCCCAGGCTGGCGGGCTGCCCCGGGCTGCCCCGGGCCCAGCAACAGCTGCCGTCATTCGTTATTGCACCCTCACTGTTGCTAGCAAGACGCTGCTCGCACCTGGAGCACCTGCCGTGCCGTGCCGTGCCGTGCCGTGCCGTGCCGTGCCGCAGCTGTACGGTGCTGCTGCACCTGGCACGCCACCTGCGTTGGTCCAGTTAGCCGCCAGACTGCCGGCACGGCGGCACGGCCAGGACACTGTCTCGCTGTCTCTCGCCCGCGTCGACATCGTCCGGCGACCCTGTCTGCCAGCCTCGACCCGTGTCACAAACGAATTAGGGACAACGGGGTTATCGTCGCGCTGCATCCCCCGGGCCGTCGTCGCCAGCCAGCGCTACCGCGCCACAAATCATTGTGCAGAAGATATGAAGTGGAGTAGAGTGTGTTGGCGAATGAATTCCCATTCCCATCCTGCTCTCCCCCGCGCTCTCCCCCTCTGTCTGGCTGTTTGCCTGCCTGCCTGCCTCGTCCTGCGCTCCCTCTACATATGAAAAATTTAGACGGTTGGCAAGGCACGCAGTGGGCCAGACCAGAAGACCGGTGGAGCCCGTGATAACATCCCGGACGCGTTTCGAGCTTCAGGCCAGGACTCGAACCGAATGTGTGACCCCACCAATGGATTCGTCTTTCGGAGAGCAGTCCATTGGTGGGGTCGCACGTTCGGTTCGAGTCCCATTCAGCGACTCTGGAGCTCAAAACGCGTCCAGAATTTTGGCCGCCTCCACCGGTCCCCTAGCCCACCGTGCGCTGCTGTCCCGGCGGATCAGCGGATGCGGCTGAAGGATCGGCCCTTGCCCCGCCAGCGCGGAGCCTCGTAAAAGGGGAAGACTGAGCGGGCGAACCACCTGGCCGGCCTGGAGGATGCCGCGATCCCCGCGCCCCCCGCGCCCCCCGCGCCCCCCGCGCCGCGGAGGCGTTCCGGCGGGGAATGGCGGGAGGCAGGGACGCCGAGGGACGCGCAGGGACGTCATCGGGAAAGGCCCCAGAAAAGGAACGAGAGGCGACAGGCCCGCAATATACCTGGCTGCAATTTCTGTCCTCGCTACCCCCACCCCGCGCCGGTCCTCACATGCTTGAAGCCTTGCCACGTATTTTGAGCTCGCGTATTTTGTTTTCAGTGTGGCATGTTTCTTTTTTCGGGCCCGAGGAGTTGGCCACGTCTTCTGGAAGCGCGCGCTCCTTGCCTTGCCTCGGCCTTGCCAGTCACCGGCAGACTGTCTCTCTGTCTCTCTCGCACTCGTGGGGCTGCCCGTGCGGGTGCGAGAGAGACGGACTCTCTGGATCAGACTGCATGTCCTCGCCACTGCTGTCCCTCGTCCGTCGCGGACTCGCGGTTCACTATGCGGGACAGGATTAATCTTGTCGGGCGTTATTGTGCCGAGCAAGGGGCTGGACGTCCCTAACTCGAATAAAGAGTGGAGAGAGACGGCGCTGCGGCGCGCTGGGCGAGGCGGAAGGGAGGAAGGGAGAAGGGACGGGTGGGCGACTTCTAGAGAAACGGCGGGGAAATTAGACTGGCGGGGTGGGTTTGCCGGGTTTGCCGTCTCGAGGAGCCCCTGCGAACAGCGCCGGCGCGGGGCGCGTGCGGGTTTCGAGGGGTTGGAAGGGTTTTGATGGTGGGGGAATGCACACGGTGTGGCTGAGCCGGGAGTGACACGGGGAAGGCCAAAGGGAAGGCGGGGCAACGCGCCCAGGTACGCGCGCCGGCTTACACCGCGATGGGGCGGCGCGTGAAATATCGCCGTCTGGATGCCTATAGATCGCCCGCCGAACGGCATCGTAAATTTTTCATCCCCGCGGCCGGGACGTTTGGTTGCCGCCACAGCGCGCCAGCGCGCCACAGGCCGCGGCGCGACCCGCGGTCCTCGCGGTGCAGCCCTCGGCTCCGGACCAGACGGGCCCCGCCGCCCCCGTGGCCCCGCCGCCGCCACGCTCGCCGCCAAAAAAACAGGCAGAGGAGAAGCAGAAGCTCGCCCGGGCCGCGGCTCGCAGTGGTGTGGCGCGGCGGGGTGGTAGACAACACATGCCAAGGGTTCGACGCAGTTTTTGCTATAGCGGGCCCGTTTTATGCACACTCAACGCTACACTGTGAAAATTTGAACAACACGTGGATGTCATCTTGAAAACGATGACTTTCTCAACACAAATTGATGAAATTTCCATAACAGCTTCCCGCACGTACTTTGGCCTGACAACAATGTAATCAACAAAGTCTGATGACATTAAGGAAAGTAGCCCTGAAATTATCATCAAGTGATCAAGTCATGAAATTTTCACAGTGTGACTGTATTCGGGGTTGAGCAGAGGCAGAGGCAGGGGCAAGGGGCCCACTCATTCGCCATTTCCAGGTGAGCAAAAGGTTTTTTTCAGGAAAAATTTTGCGACCCCACGCGACCCCTCCTTTAGCATGCCTTTGATACAAAGTGCGATAATCCACCTTAGTTTGGGAGCAGTATTGCCGCAAAGTTGATCAAAACGGCCACAAATGTCTTTGAAAAATCGTGTTTTGGTCCGACTTTAAGCAGCCGCTGCGTCTGATCCGAGGCGGTATTTCGTACTTCTTGAACGGGCATTTGGTCTTTGGACCTTCCTTTTACATGCCTTTGTTACGGAGTGCGATTATCGGCCTTAGTTTGGGAGCAGTATTGTCTCAAAGCTGATGAAAACAGTAAAAAATGCCTTTGAATGCCATTTTGATCCACTTTGAGACAATACTGCTCCCAAACTAAGGCAGATAATCGCACTCCGTAACAAAGGCATTCTAAAGGAAGGTCCAAAGACCAAATGCCCGCTGAGGGAGGACGAAATACCGCCTCGGATCAGACGCAGTTGCAGCTTAAAGTCGGCCTAAAACACGAGTTTTCAAAGGCATTTTCGATTGTTTTGAACAATTCTGCCAGCCGGGAAACAGCCGCGACCCCAGGCGACCCCAACCACCTCGCCGTGACCCCTCGAAATTTTTTTCGCGGCCCCCTTTGGGATCGCGACCCCAAGGTTGGGAACCGCTGGTCTATTGCTTTTTGACGCACGGGGCTAGCGCGCCCCTCCTGCATTTTCGGCCGGATGTCCAGCTAGCTCGCCGCTCGCTTCTAGCCGAACTCCTGGCCGCCAAAATTGCGTTATTGGTTCCCACTTTGGATCCCCGCGTGCAGAACTAAAAGCTGCGCCTGGAAAAGGCAGTCCGACTCGGGCTGAACCTCCACCGCGGCTAATTCGGTGCGGAGAGGGGATGCCGCGAAGTGCTGCGAACCACGACAAAGGCAAATTCAATCATTTTATGAAAGCACCGCGGCAAAGCGGGATTGGCCAGGGGGTCGGGGGTTCATCTAGTGGTGGCTTGTCGCGACGCGTGGTTTTGCCTGGGAGCGCCAGTCCGAGGCCGAGGCCAGCCACCGGCAGTCGCACACCGGCCCAGCACCAGCGGCACCCACGAGATGGCTTCATCCAAGCCAAGCCAGATGGAGTGCCCCTTCTGCAGGTCGCCTCTTTCTTCGGGGCAC